TGGCATGAAAAGCCCCCCACTGTGTAAAAATAACACAAAAAATATATATATATTCAAGTTAATTAGAAATGACAAAAACTGATCGGGCTATCATTCAATCAAATGTTCTTCTAAGAAGGGTGCGTTTTGTCAGAACCAAATCGAGTGAGCTCAAGTCTCTTAGCTAGCTAACTGAGAAGCTAAAGAAGGCCTCACTCACCATGCCGCCTGACCCTCCCTCGCTCCCCAGCGGAGCCTCGTCCTTCCCACCGCTCTTCGGTCCGGGATCAGCCTCCTCCTGCAGCAGCGGTGGCTCTCCGCTCTGGTCTGAACTCATCAGCCGCTCCTGACTCACTTCCACCCCGTCGCGTTCTCCCGGCCCCCCGCCTGTCGCCGCCACCTACTTCCCGAACACCGGCTGTTTTGCAGTGAATCGAGCTCGTCTCCTGGTGAACTGGATGGGCCAGCAGCACACTCCAAGCTAGCAGGCTAGCGCGCTATGAATCAACGAAGCGGGCTAACAAGCTAGCTCAGTGAATTAGGTTCGTACGCTTGAATAAGAACAGTAGAAGCGACGCCAAAACATGACTCCTTTTATACCAGGGTCTCCGCTGGAGTTTTATCAGTTGGTAAACCACTAAGCGACTTCGCAAGACGCATTCCTTATCGGGCAAGTGGAGCGGACACTGGGGACATGCACCTATCCTCAGCACACAGACCGCCGACGTCCCGGCTACCACCGCGAGTTCTCGTTGACCTTTGGAGAAACCGTTTTTTTTCTCTTCCGCTTCCTGTAGTTTTTTTATTGTAGTTTTATCTTCATAACATAAACCCCAGAACTGAACGGGAACTCTCTTAACATTGGTATTGCAATACAACAAAAAAGTAAAAATTCTTAATAAATACGTGAAAAGCATGTTAAAAATGTAATGCTTAAATGTTTTGGCAAATATTATACTTAATGATAATTATATATCTTTTGAAAAAAAAAGGGTTAAAAATTCTTTAAAAACTACTGGCTTGATAACAATTACAGCACCAACTATAAACAATAGCAATTTAATAGCAATTTTCATTAATATATGGTGAAACTAGTGAATGAAATCTTTTAATGTGGTAAACGTTGCAATACGCTTATGCACACATGCCGTCAACAGGAGGATCATGGCTATGCACCTTTTCTTTCTTTGGTATCTTCTTCCTCTTGACTATTTGAGCTGATGTAACGAGTAAATGTCTCCACTGTGAGATCAATAAGTCAATCAATCAAATGGTGCTCAGAAATTACCCCTTATTTTGACTATTCAGTGATCCTTCATTTCTCAAATGAAAAAGCAAGGCTCCTGATGTAATCAGCTGTCTATTTTTACTCTAAAATGTAAAGATGGTGAACAATGACAATTTAAGCTGAGGGTAGAAGGTTTTTTGTCAGCAAAACTCTTTATCTACACAGACCACTGGTTTAAAAAATAGATTTAACTTACTATTACTGGTAAATCATTTTTTATCAGTCAGTTAATGAGTAATTGTGATGTTAAGAGCAACCCACCTGCTAGTAATATTTTGAGTGCATAAAAAATGCTTAAGGTTCTAATATAAAGGGTTATGGCAGCATGCTGGATTGTTTATCTTCAGAAAATGTAAATTACGACCTATGAACATCTGCAATTCCATAGGGTTAAAAGCAAATAAAGACACACCCAATAATTTGGTCACTTAAAAACATCTTTTTATACTAGTGGACACATGTGAACCACTAAATGTAATTAAAAACAAAACAAAAACATATCTGTAAAGTCAGCAGCTCTTTTATTAAGGCACATAGACAAGTGGTTGGATTTGAAAATTAAAAACAAATAACTGAACAGAGGAAAATACCTAAACCAACCACCGACTCTAAAACAAAAACGCTCATTCTACTTGTGGCCTCCTCTCTTGCCGAGCACATGCTCCATGTCAGCGTGTTCGGATGTGTCCAATTTGATGTCATACTTGGCCAGGATCTTCATGATGGGCCTGATCTTCAGCCACCACTGTGTCTTTGGGATGCGGTGCCTGCGGTGAAGAGAAGGAGAGGGATCAGCCGTCATTACAACTGATGCTCTTCCCAGCACAATATTTGAGTTTAGAAGGCAGCTGTGCGGCTTACTCAAAATCTGTGTCAGCTTTCAGATCAGCAAGAGGCTGGAAGGTGAGCGCCCTTTTCCTCATGCCCAGCACACATGCGGAGTCTGGTGTGTTGGCAAAGATGCGACCTAAGAGGGCCACAAAAATCAAACAATGAATCCAAAAAGCTCTCACTATGCGAGAGCAAAGTAGTGGTTTACAAACCATACAAGTCCATGTCTACTGATTAGAACACAATAATTATAATTTAAATGACAAAATATCAAAAAGTTAATATATTTCTACATAAGGATTACTTTTTTCAAAGTT